CAAGAGGACTTTTCTGAATCAATTCATTAACAGTCATCCTAAACCTTGAGGAACTCATCTACTTTTTGGACTACTTACCTCCTTGTACACTTTTTTTTGCCCTACCAGCCTACCTTAGTCTACCTTACCCCTGCATCAGGAAGAACATTATTTCTGATATTCATCTTAGACAGTATGGCAAAGTTTTGCTGTGCTATTCTTTAAAGGTCATATAATCTATATTGTAGCTATGCAAAACCTGAAAACTCACAATTTATTTCTCTCTGCAAAAGGACACTTAGTTTTTTAGCAAGACGCTGCCTAATTGTTTAGACAGAGAAGCACTGACTTTGTAAGTAACTGCACTCAATAGAAGCAGGTCCCCAGGTGATTTAAATCACAGTTATCTCACTGAAGTCAGCACACTCAGTGCTGCCAAGTTAAAACGACTGAAGACATGAGGCAAAATCTGCTCCTTACTTTAACAGCACATCTGGGCCTAAAGTCAACGTTTCCAACACCAAAATGTCAAAGAGACATCTGTAGTTTTTCAAATGCTGATTGATCTTTAGATCCAAGCTACTCAGTCTAGGTCTACACTGTGAACTTTACAATCCCAAAATAAGCCTATCTATGTGGTTTAGACTGGTTCAGAGACAGGCAAGAGCTGAGGGGGAAAGTTCTGGATCGCAGTTCTGAGAGCTTGACTTTACCTGAATTCTGCTGCTGGCCTCCAGCTCTGTGCTGGATCTCATCACCAGCTCCTGTAATTCCCATGGAGCTGGGAACATTTCATCTTTACCCCTCTACATGCTCGAGGCCAAAGCTTTGCTCATGTCCCACTTACGTGCTATTCTGAGAGTGGCAGAAGTGGTGATTGCATGTGAACTCAGCAAAAGAGTGAATTCTCTACATCAAGATTAAAAATGGCAAAATTGGACCCTTCTCATTAAATAAATCATATGAACAATCAATTTGCATATGTTTTGCATTCTTGGGCATAAATTTTTAAATATTTTAAAGGTTCAGGAAACCTGGGAGGATTTAAAACATGAATCCCTCTGAACTGTGATCTAAGAGTTACTTGTCCCTTAAGAATAATGATTTACTGGGTCTAAGCAGTTTTAGCATTATTATTTTTTAACCTACTGGGGCTTTCAATACAGTTACTTTCAAAGGAAATAAAACCAAATGGTAATTGTAGATTAGAGAAAAAGAATGAACTCCCAATTAATTATTAAAATTGACTGTTAATTTTAGAAACTCGCAGCAAATTGTTCGCAAAAGAAAATTTAAAGCTACAAGAACATCCAATCTATATTATTTCTTAAATTCCCTGTTCACAAGAGGTAAAAAACATTTTAAATATTGGAGAAATCACATAGAGACAGTGAATGACACCAGGTATATACTGAATTGCATCAAGGATCTATTCCCCTTCTTATATCAGAAAATCACAGAATGAGTAAGGTTGGAAGAGACGGCTAGAGGGGTTAATTGGTCCAACATCCCTGCTTAAGGAATATGCATGCACATACACTAAACCTACAAAATGCTGAAGATCAATATGTGTCTGTGATACAAAGATATATACCTCTGCTTCAGTGTTAAGGCAGAGTGCAACCAGATTTCCACTTATTTGGAATATTTTTTTTTAGGGTTAAAAAATTCATTCCTTATGGTGATGAATTAAAATGTTTCAATGGTTTTGGGCTTTGTATGAATGAGAGAGTAATATCAGTAATATCAGAGAGGCATAAATGTTCAGACCAGCCCCTAGTTTCATGACACATCTTGGGAATCAAAAATGCTGCAAGATTGTGTGTCTAGTCAAACTGTGTTAAGACAGAATATTTTACTGCAAATAGAGTAGAAACTATTTATCATGCCTAGACTATGGAGCAATCAGCTACTCTGACCTTCCATGATTTCCTTAGGAAAGGTACTTGGATCCTTTTGACTGGTGGTGAAAATAAACATTTCCTTTTCAAGTTGGTTACCTCCCTGTTTTTTGGTTTTCTTTTTTTTTTTTAACAGAGTATCAGTATGTTTGGCAGTAGGGAAGGTCAGTTTAGAATAAATTTCATATCAAAATTCTGTTTTACTTTCAGAAAAGGCTGCATAAAATATCCTCCCCTTCAAAACTGATCTATTTCCTCCATGTGTGCAGTCAGTTCTGATGCCTTCAGTGACAAACTGTGATAACCAGCACATTTTTCTCCCCTTAGCTGTGTATATTCTACTGTAATTGAGAAAGGGCTGCAGCTCCTGTCTGAGCACACCAGCAAGGGAATTCTTAATGTCCCAGACATACCTTTATGAAACTCAAAGTTTTATACCTTCAACACTGTTTTTTGTTTTTGTTTTTTTTTTTTTTTTCTGAGATTGTAATGTCAGATGAGGTGTAATGACTGGGACAATGCAAAGAATGATATGACCTGGAGCATGGTCTCAGAGTACAGAGTAGATTTTGTACAAAAAAAGTGATGAAGAAGTGATAAAGTGGTGATGAGAAAGAAACCTAAGAATATTTGCACTGGGATCAATATAAGGCCCTGCTGTAATATGTTCAGAGATCTGCTTCTATCATAGCATTGTGGTACATGTCAATCATCCAGGGCCTCAGCAGGCACTGGTCACTTAACAGCAACAGTAAGGGAGGGAAAAAACGCATCAATTAAACGGAATAAAAATATTAAATCCCCAAATATTAAGCATACATCCAATTTGGCAACTCATTTGACTGCCTAAGGCAGTTGGTTTATAGAGTCATGTTCATTCCACTTAATATTATTAACAATTCCCAGGGAAGTACATCATAGTTACAGTAGCTAGTGCATTAATCTTTATCATATGTGCAAGAGTGGAAGCTTAGAACAGGATTATGAAAACAGAGTGCTTATTCTTTTATCTCCATACTGATCTCTATGCAGAAAATAAGGATCTAATGAGACTACTTACTAACTGAGTATTAACTTCCCTGGGGCTAGAACTGCTTTTCCATCAAGTGCTGGGACAAATGCTCTTGCGAGAGTTTTGAGCTCTCGGCCTTTGAGCTTCTGCTTCTTCTCTTCCAGTCAATGTGGTTGGGTCATAGGATGCAAAAAACTCATATTCCAGTTTTACACATGCTGTGGGCTAAATTCATGGTTCTGCATGGAAATAATCCTAAAAGCACAAGTCAACATCCCTGCAGATTCTTTTTGCCTTTGCTCATTAATAGGGGGTGTTTCCTCTAAAAAGCAAGTGATTCTGGATGTGTACTCTTTGGAAAAGAGCAAAACCACTGGATCTTCCCCTTTTAAGGGAAAGCAAAGATGAAAGGAATCCAATTGTGTTCACATTCTCAAAGTCTACTTTGTATGTCAGAATATAAGAGGAGCCAGTACTGGGTCAGATCAAAGGTGCATCTAGCCCAGTGTCTACCTGCAGCAGTGATCATCACTGGATGGTTAAGGTAAAGAAAAAGAGCAGGGCAGAGATATAATCATCTGTTCCCAAATATTACTCCAGCCTTCAGTAATTTGTGGAACAGGGTTTTCTTGAGCCACAGGCCATGACTTCATGTTTAAAGAGTCTTAATGGATTTTTCTTCCACAGATATGTCCTACAATTTTCTGAAGTGTGAATTTCTGTGGAAATGAATTCCACAGTTTCACTCAATATTTTGTGAAGAAGTATGTCCTTTTGTTTGAATCAAAGCTAGACCCTAGTGGGTTTCATTTCTCCTACTCCTAAAACTGGAAATGATACTGAGATATTGTTCAGGTTTATCTTCCTCACAGTGCTCTTTATTAAGAAATACTATGAATGATGAAAACACCTCACACTAATATTTTATCTACACTTACTCCTCTCCTTTTTTTTTCCATGCTGAAGAATCCTACTTTATTTAGCCATTTCCTATGCAGAATTTGGTCTTTATAATTTACCACCTAGTTCTTCTCTGCACAAGTTCCTTCAGTAATTGAGGCAGGAAACGTGTCCAAAGCAGAGACCAAGAAAATCAGTTGACTTTAATCCACCAGTTCCCAGGAATTATACTCCACAATGCACAGCCATAACAAAAGAAGACATTTACTTTGCTGGTACATTTAATATTATTTTGATATTGATAGGAACAGATGGATGTGAATTTGGTCATTGCATCACCCAAAGTCTTCCAAGTACAGTTTAATATAGGTCTTATGAGGCTTGAACAGAAAGTGATTTTAGAACCTAATTTAATGACAGAAGTTCCCTTCTCCTGTTCTTTCCACACCATCAGCTAAAGCTTACACATTCCTCTAATGAAAGTTTGTGAAGTAGGTAGATGGCCTAATCAAAGGGCATTATGGAAGGACATTCTAGAAATGTAAAAGTATTCTAGGAGACACTGTGAGAATTCAAGGAGGACAAATTTATACTGAAAACTCAGGCACTATGTTGCTGGGGAAATTCCTGAACCTGAAATACTTGGAAGAGGGGCTGAGAGAGTTCAGGGATGAAGCTTGTCCTGTTTTTTACATTCCTCACTAAACGTTTCCTGTGCGTGCTGTCGATGGCAGTCCCTGCAGTCTGACCCAGAGAAACTTCTCTTCTAAACCCAGGCTGCCATGTTCATTAAGGCAGCCCACGGACAGCGCACGGCCCATTACGATCACCTTTCCATGGCTGCTGTGTATGCCGCAGGAGGCTGCGCTCTGCCCGACTTTGGCTGGGGAAGAGGCGATGCTGGCAAACAGGCGGTGGAGCCAATGCCGCTGGGTGGGAGCCCGCCGAGCTGAGCCCTCCCGGCCTCCAGCAGCCCCTTCCCACCCCTCCCGCGGCGGCGCGGGGCTCCCAGCCCGCATCCAGCATCCCGCATCCCGGGTGCCGGCAGCGCCGGGAGGCAGCGGGCGGGCGGCAGGACCCAGGGGGACGGCAGTGGAAGGACCCAGGCTTTGGCGCACACGCCTCCTACCAAAAAAAAAAAAAAAAAAAAAAAAAAAAAAAAAAAAAAAAAAAAAAAAAAAAAAAAAAAAAAAAAAAAAAAAAAATTTCACAGCCCCGTGGAGCTGGCGCTCGCTCATTCAGTTTTCTAGAGAGATCTGAGCCGGAACCCGGGAGCCCAGGAGATCTTTCTCGCCCACACAGCTCAGCAGCAAGGACATCTACAGGGGGGAAAAGCCCACCCCACGCAGCCCCCCGCCGCCCCACGGCAGCTGCCGGCGCTGTGCAGGTATTTGGATTCGCCTTCTCTCGGGTTGCGCAGGGCGGCTCTCGGCGCTCCCCCCGCCCCGCCGGGCCCGGGATGCGGCGTTTCAGCACCGCGGGGCGGACAGCTCCGGTCCCGGCCGCTCCGGCCCGGCCTCGGCTCCTGCTCTGCTCCCCCTGCCCGGCTCCCTGCCCTGCTCCCTGTCTGCTCCCTGCCCTGCTCCCTGTCTGCTCCCTGCCCGCTCCCCCTGCCTGCTCCCCCTGCCTGCCCGCCCTGCTCCCTGCCTGCCCTGCTCCCTCCTGCCCCCTTCTCCTGCCCTGCTCTCCCCTGCCTCCTCCTGACTACCCTGCTCCCCCCCGCCTGCTATGCCTATTCCCTGTCCTGCTCCATGTCTCCTGCCAGCCCTATTCCCTCCTGTCTCCTGCCTCCTTCCAGCCAAGCTCTCTGCCTGCTGCCTGCCCCACTCCTTGCCTGCACCGCCTGCTGCCTCCTTCCCACTGCCTGCCCAGCCTGCTTCCCGTCCTGCTACTCCTGTTCCCTGCCTCCTGCCAGCGCTGGCTGCTGACTCCTGCCTGTCCAGCTCCCTGACTGCCCTACCTCCTGCCTCCCAACATGCCTCTCCTGTCTGCCAAGCGACCTCTCCGGTATCTGCATCCCTGCTGCCTGCCTGCTCTTTGCCCTGACTGCTTCTTTCTGCTGCTCATTGCATTCCCTGTCTCTATGTTCCCTGCCTCCACTGCTTGCCTCATGCCTGCCCTGACTCCCTACTCTCTGCCTCCTCTGCCTCTTACTTGACCTGCTCCCTCCCTGTCTCCTTATCTTGTTCCCTGCCTCTCTTCTTTGCCCTGCTGCTTCTACTTCCCTTACCTCCCCTCCCTCCTCTGCTTCACCTGTCTCCCTTGCCTCTCCTTGCCCTGCTTGCTGCTTCCTGCCTCCTATATATCCTGCCTCTTCTTCCTCCAGTTGTCCTTGCCCTGCTTCTCTGATTCTTTTCTCTCTGCCTTCCTCCGTTCTGCCTTCCCTGTCTGCTCTCCTCCCTGCCCCACTCCCTTGTCTCCTTTCCTCCCTGCCCCTGTTTCCCCACATTCCTCAATTTCCTGCCCTTTCTTCTCCTCCTGTCTTCTTTCTCCATCACCAGTCTCCATCCTTCCTGCAAGGGGGCATGGCACTATAAAAATCAACTCAGCAGCCCAGATGCTGGGCAAGGAAGGAAAAGAGCACAGGCTGGAAGGGAAAGTCCAGATGCAATTTGAGACCCAGGAGAGATGAGAGGCATGAAGAGGAAAGGGCTAAAACTGGAAGCTTAGTTAATGAAGTGAGAGCTACAGCCAGGGGTTGACATAGGGGAGCTTGTCAAAGAGCACCAGATACCTGTTTGCTCCTCAGCACATTGATGCCTGTTTTGATCAGTTGCTCTCATTCCAAAGAGAGAGGAGAGATTAAAGGGAGGGGGGAATGTGCCAGGTCAGTCAATGGTATTGCTTTCCTGGTGGTAAACAGTGATGGGTGCAGGGAAGAAGTGAGGTGAATCACGTCTAGCATGTGGGTCCTTTGCTGCAGGAAGTCAAGAATTAAGTTTTGGTCTCTGCAAGAAGTGAGTGTGTTCATACAGAAAATAAATGTAAAGCAAATAACAGCTGGAGAAACACCATGCATGCTACTGGCCTGACTTTAATTCTGTTTGCAATGGTTTAATCCTGAGAGGGTGAGGAAGGTCATAGCAGAAAGGGAGTTTCCCCTTTTCAAAATACTGATTCCTCAATTTTAACAAGCTCTGTGAATAATTAAGTTAAGGAGCAGATGGCTACATCATGTCCATCACTAAATAGTGACAGGATTATATTTGGAAGAAAAAATTAAATTACAGAAAGTCTGCTTTCATGTGCTGTCTGAGTAATCAGATGATAACATAGATTATCTCCAGTACTAAAAGTTAATACAATGCCGACATTTACATGAGCTATTATGTAACAGTATTATGCCATGCACTGCATAGCCAAAGTACTGGTTTAATTTTTCCTCTAATAAGTCAGATAGCCTTGTAGAGCTTTTCCTAATTGTAGTCTGTATCCTACCTTGAAGTTTACAGGGCCAGCTTGTGCTGTATCTGTGCTGATGATTTTAAGAATTCTGTTGACTCATCTACCTCTAAAAACTATTGAGTATTTTCTAAAAAATAGACTTTTGTAAGGCAAACACAAAACAATGAAAGATACTGCCACCTTTTCAAGAAAACCTTCTTAATTTATTATATCACAATTATAACTTAAAATCTGTTGCAGAGACAGGATATTCGGAGTAGCACTGAGTGCTGCTGAGTAGTAGAGTAAGCAGTGCAGCTGAATTCAGCAGTGGAGGAACTGCAGAATCCATGCCATAGCACTGGGTCATGATTCCTTAAACTCTACGTGCCTTGAACACAGACGTCATTTCACTGAAATATGTAACAGCAGCCTCCTCATCTTCCAAAAAAAGGCCCATGTCAGTTGAAATAGTAATGATCAGCCTCATAAAAGGATGGAGAATATTTCTTTCAAAAAGATGTAAACTCATGCAGTTGTTAACTTAAGCATGCAATTATTGAAGCCATTGTGCTATTGCTTAGCAAGTGAGTTTTATTTTCTCTCACAGCCTTGTACTGTAGTGTCTCTCTGGCATGGACACAAACCAGATGTGACAATTGGGTGCTACTAGTTAAACAAAACAAAACAAGAATAAAAGGAAGCAGCATTAGTCTCTTATAGAGTGGAAAAACTGAACAGAAGTTCACATGGTTTTCATCAGAAGAGTTGTAATTCCTTTCCCTCTTGATCTAATCCTGTTCCATTGGTTTAATTTGAGAATTTCCAAATACTTTAGTGGAAATTTGGTTTGCTTTGTTTGTTTTTTTTTCTTCAGTAATATTTATAGAAATAAACCCCTTGAAATACAATATGTTTCTATACTGAGAAAACAAGCCCACATAGTATTATAAAGTTATATAAGCTTTGTTTCTACAACTTTAGGAGAAATTTCTATGTGCTTTCTGTTTGTGTTGAGACTTCAGTAGAAATGAGAGAAAAAAACCCCAGAAGGACTCCATTAATTCCTGGGGGCAGAAATCCCTTTCCCCCTTTCCCCCTTTCCCCCTTTCCCCCTTTCCCCCTTTCCCCCTCTCCCCCTCTCCCCCTCTTCCCTTCCCTTCCCTTCCCTTCCCTTCCCTTCCCTTCCCTTCCCTTCCCTTCCCTTCCCTTCCCTTCCCTTCCCTTCCCTTCCCTCCCACAGTGATATGCCACAGATGCTTTTCTCTGGCATGACATATATAGCAAACAGAAGTCAACAGTAATATATCACCATTGCATTTCATTTTTTTTGAAAGAACATAATTTTCCAAAGCATGGAGCAAAAGAAGTGCAAAATTAGATAAGCCTCATGTTATTAAACATGCCATACTGAATATCTTGTTAATATGTTTTGTTCTTTCTTCTGTATATCTTCATGCAGATGTTGTAACACAGCTCCTACAGCATTTAGGCATTTTTGGACACCAATGTTATGATTGTGTGCTGTCAGATTTCTACATATAGCTTCTTTATGAGGCTTGGGAGTCAGAATTATCCTTTGCATGCTGTTAATTTCTGCTGCAAGATGTTTCTGCATTATTGGAGGAACTGACCTCTGTCCCATAGTGGCCAGGGTGCATTTGCTTGGTGATGCTTGCACTGTGACTGACATGGAAGTTCCTCATAAACTGCTGCTTCTTTGGCATGCCACAGGTCAGGCCATATGTTCCCATAGGGATTTGCAGATTATCTGTGATTGGTGAATACATGCAACTTAAAAACTATGATTCGAAAAAAATTTAGCCAAATTCTTGAGGTTAATGCTGTTATATTTAACTTTTTTATTTCTGTATAGTATAAGTTCCCCTCCTTGACATGTGGTCCAATTCCTTAATATTCAGGTAATTAATAAGTTTTGCACATTTTAGGTCAGAAGACAAGGGGGCAGTTTTTTAATTTTACATTTGCTAGACAACCTTGCCTGTCTCTCCTCCTGCCTAGCAGCTTGTAAGAATAGCAGGACAGCTTCAGGTTGGTGCTGCAGACATGCCTGCCCTACATACTGTGCAGAGAGCAGAGAAGATCAGTTGAGTTTCTGCCATGTTTTGTGCTGTGCCATGGCTAAATTGGCACACTGGACATTTAGATGCAGCCTGAGGACAATCTGTAAGTAACTCAAACTAGAAAAAAGATTGTAGAATGAGTAGGAAGTCATGATGTGCTGTTTTTACTGAACTGAAGGAAATGTTAGTTTTTGTACCTGAGCTGAGAGATTCTACCCTGGGAAAATGTGAGAAACCATCAAATTCCCCACACAGCTGTTACAGTCACAAACATTCTCTATTTTCATAATGACAAGAAGGAACAAATCCCTCGTGAAGGTTTACAGGAGCACCAGTACTTGGAGCAGAAAGCCTTACAATATTTAACTCATTAATGTTCACTGGGAGAATCTGGTCCCTTGGGAAAGACTGCAGAGAAGTAGTGGTGAGGCCACAGTTGGAGTATTGGATCCTCTTCTGGGCTCCTCAGTACAAGGGAGACAAGAACATATAAAAGAAAGTCTGACAAAGGGTCCAGGGGATGATGAGGAAAGATTCCCTGGATGTTACCATGTAGGCTTATGGCTCAGGAGGGATATGATCTGCTCCCAGCTGTGGGAAATGTGTCCTCTGGGATCTCAGACACATCACTCAGGGCTGTGCTTCTCCCCACAGTCTGTGGAAGATGCCAGGGTCTCGCAGCCAAGGATGAAAGTGAGGCAGTTTTGCTCATTGCTCTTTTGAAATTGCTTCAATTGAAATTGAAATTGCTTCATGGAACTGGGGTAGGTTCCTTTCTAGGTCTGACTACTCCACTTCCAGTGCAGGTTTCTACTAAGGCACCACAAGGCCACAAAGGGCCATAGGAGCCATTCCTATAGGTATAGGTATGGATTCATCCTCTCCTGTCCTTATGGAGCAACCCCTGCTAAACAGAACATAGTCCTAAGAGATTTTCCAGAATTAACATCAAAATATTTTTCAAAAAGAAATTTAATGAGATGACACCCACGCTCTGAGATAAAATCATTCTATATTACCATTTTCCCTCCCTCCCTGCCCACTCCCTTCCTTTCTGGCATGATTTCAGCAGCTAATATCTGTATAAATGCTAGGAGTTAGGAATTATATAATGAGCCAAATCCTAGCACTGATGCCTCTTAATACCAGGTGAGAATGAAATGTTAGTGTCTTCTCAATTTAAAAATTGTGGTAATGAAATTTCACACGGCAGATAGCATTAGACTGGATGGAAAACATTTGGTAGATTGAGAGACAGCTAAAATCTTTCTGGAACTGAATTGGAAAGGGAAGGGCCAAATAGACATGAGGTGTTTAAAGAAGCAAGTGGTGTTGCAGGGGCTGGTAAGTGGGCAGGAACAAAATGATCCAGACAATTGCCATCATCACTGCAGGCAGATTTTGACCAATTTTCCAGGGCATGCAGTGCAAACAGGGATTGAATGCTGACCCAGAAACTGTCTCTGAAGGGAGAGCAGTAAGGCATGTTAAAATCTTTGCATGAAAAGTGGAAAATCATATTTTTCCACAGTATACTTTTTCCAAAGTATACTGTGGAAAAATATGATTTTCATTTTAGTTTGTATAGTAAATATTACTACCATTTTATTATTAACTTTTTCTTTTGAGGATTATGCAAAAAATGTAAGCTGCTTGTCTGAAAATTGTATCCCACTTGCAGTATGTTACTCATGCTGAACACTCACTGTCCCTTGTCATTCCCTTGCTGGGACTGAAAATGAATCAGCCAAAACTGTATGTGACACCACAATTTTGGTGAAAATCTCCCTCCTTGTTTTGATTTTAGTATGTTGTGGTTCAAAACTCTATAATTTTTTTTCATTTAAGGCTGAATTTTCTTCCTTTGGAGGGATGAATTATTATAAGTGGCTGTGAAAAGACATTAGAAGAGCACATAGTCCCCTGGGAACAAAGAGTCACAAGATAGGAAAACAGCTGTTGAGACTATAACCCATTTTAATGTGCCAATACACAGCAACAATATTCAAAATAGGAAAAGAAGGCCAGTATCTTTATTCAGAAGAAAAAAACAACCCTGCACCAAACTGAACAAAGATGTAAACATCTAAAAAATTGGCAGATGGATCAGAGCTGTACACAACACTGGAAGAGAAGGAGAAATTGCCATGTGTGGGAGGAGGTGAAAATGGAGATGAAGCTTCTGTTATATCTTGGGAATCAGAATAAATCAGAACCATTTGAGAAAGTGCAGTGACAGTTAAACTGGGTAGTTATGGAACACTAAATTTATTGTCAAGGTTAGCAGTGGGAGAACCACATCATTCACTGATGTATATCAGGCATATCAGGCTCCTTGATGGCAATGGTGCTAGTGTGGGTTGCAAACTTCATGATTTCCCTACGATTCTGAGAGTGACAAAATTGTTCATACATATTTTAGATTATTTTGCAATATATAACTTCCCACCAATAAAGTATTTTAGTGCAGTCTGTTCCAGGTGATAGTCAGGATAATCTATAGATAACTGTAATCCATGGTAATAGCTCAGCTCACTATCAGAAAACTCTGAAATGCATTTAAAAATGGATCTGCTGATAGAATGAGTATTGGCAAGTTGTTTTTTGACAACATCTGACAAGAAAGAACTGTATCTCCCTCACCTTGGGATAATCCTGAGCATTTAAATTAGTTAAAAACAGTAGGAGACTTTAATGAAAACAAGCAGAATCATTTTTTACATTAAATAGCTGGGGAACCAATAAAAAAGACCAGACTTTGTTTCCTTGGAGCAGAGGAATATCCTTCCTTCTGGAGCAGACTGCATTTGACCTTTCAAGAATTTGCCTTATTGCCAAAGAAGCATCTTGGCGGAGGTGGGAGACAGAAAAGTAGCAGAGGAAGGGACAGTTTTACTCCCATAAACTCCTAGAACATGAATGAACCACTGGGAATTGTGTGTCTGTGTGTCATTGTTGTCTGCTGCTAATCCTTGGGTGCTTTAGAACCAGACCCAGAGAAGGGCCACAAAAATGATCAGAGAGCTGGAGCACCTCTCTTGTGAAGACAGGCTGAGAGTTGGGGTGGTTGAGCCTGGAGAAGAGAAAGTTCCAGGCAGACCTTACAGCAGCTGTCCAGTACCTAAAGGGGAACTGCAAGAGAGATGGTCACAGACTTTTTACTAGGGCCTGTAGTAACTGGGCAAGGGCTAACATTCTTAAACTGAAAGAGGACAGATTCCGATTGGATATAAAGAGGAAGTATTTTATTGTGATGAGGGTGGTGAATCTCTGAAACGAGTTTCCCAGAGAAGTTGTGAATGCTCAAACATTGGAAGTGTTCAAGGCCAGGTGGAAAGGAGCTTTGAAAAACTTGATCCAGTGAAAGATATCCCTGCCCACAACAGGGAGGTTGGACCAGCTGACCTTCAAAGATCCTCTCCAAACGAAAACGTTCTGTGATTCCACAATTTTGTGATTCTAAGCCACAGGAACGCTAAAGGTGTTGTAATTCATACTGGTCCTAAGCCAGAGCTGATGCAGACCCCAGACAAGCTTCTTGCTTCCAGATCTCTGCTTAACACTCTTGGGAGCAAAGAGTTTCCATACTCTACACTTGCTGTTAAAACCAGGGAAGGACAATCCTGGCACCACAGTCCCCTAATGACAGGGTTGCCCTTAAATACCCCTAGCATTCCTAGCTAGCTCAGGGAGGCAGTCGTGAGTAAAGCAATGATTTATTCAAGAAAATGCTGATATCACCATTAACTTGAGATCTCAGTCACAAAATATTAGCCTGGTTTCTCTATGGCCTGCTGTAATTTTACATCAGTGGAATTTGGTTGATACCATTGGAATTGCTCCAATTTGGTCTAATAAAGTCAAGAGTAAAGAAAATAGCTGTTACTTTATTTTTATATAAGGAATCCACCTTTATTACAGCTCTAATTTCTTTAAGAATTGAATAGCCTGCAAGCATGGACTACCCCTCAAAACCTGGGGACTTGTTTTCTGGAATCATTTGCACTCTGTAGCGCCTTTTCAAAGCCGTCTTTTCTCCCAGCTCTGCCTTTCCTCGAGTTTTCCCAGGCTGATCAATCATCAGATACTCTGCTCTGCAGGTAGCTCTTTTCAACTCCAGCTCCACAGTGAATACAGAAAGAGGATGCTTAATAAACTCTCCTTTGTGTCACCCACAAAAAGTCCAATTCATAATGCTGTTAAATGAAAAGCTTATCTCCCACCACAAATGTCCTTTAAGCAAATATGCAGAAACACTCTGTATTTAAATTTTGGGATTTCATCCTGGGGCTGCAGCTGTGGCATCTAAAATGTAGTTTTTTATCAATAACATGCAAGGTCACAAAGCAGGGAACTGAGGCATCCCTTGAGCTCATTGACTTCCAGGTCCTGCAACATAACTTTGAGCAAATCAGGGACCAAGAAATTCTTTGGCTGCTGCTCTCCCCTTTGTTTGATCTGAGAACGCTGAACCCAGGGGAGTAGCTGAATGAAATGGTTGTTTTGCTATAAATAATTCATAACTCTCCAAACAGATTTCTTCAAATACAAAAAGTATGTCTTTTACTGAGGGATTCCCTTTAAGTTTTTAAAACCCATTTTTCCTTTTCAGAAATTAGAAAGAGAGATCTGTTAAGCTGGGGAGAGGGGTGGTTTGCTTGTCTGTTTCTGTGATGGCTGAAAAATTGTATGGATCTTGATCTTTCCTCACACATATATCACATTGGAACAGACCTTGATCTTATTTCACACAAGTGTAGCTACACAGACTTCTATGACAGCCTCTTGCTAATTATGTCACTGAAATGTAAGAGATTCACCCTACCGTTTTGCTCATACATAACAGCTTAAGCAGTTTTCTTCTAACACTTGTAAAAACAAATTCTAGGTAAAGTACCAAAATCAAAATGAAATTCAGAACTAGGTATTCAGGAAAGATACAATATACTGAGAAAAAGGAATTTTGAATAAAATACATCTCTTTCCAACTAAAACACAAATCCTGTCAGACTGGATACATCAAGAACCTTATTTGTGGGAAGTTTCCAATGAAGACATATTGAGTCTCAATGGGAAATATTTCCAGTGAATTTCTAAAAAGTAGAAATTATCCCTGGTATTGGTAGAGTTTTGGGTTTTTTAAAAATTGGCTTTACAGGCAGCTCATGGTCTTATTCAAGGAGAGTGACAAGCTGATAGTACAGGTGATAAAGCCAAATCAAACAGGTGTTCTGCTTAGTATGATGATGGTAAATCTGTCTATTTATGGAGCTGAAATGTTGCTCCCATTAATGGTGGAAAAAAATACTATTATTTTTGCTGCTATCATCCTTGGCTTGAACTTAGGAATGCTGCAACTCCCACATTTCTCTAAGATAGTTTTGAAAAGTGTATTCTAATAGCAAGTTGATACAGCTTAGTATTAATTGTCAATAAATCAGATTGTTTTTTTGAAAGCCTGAAAACATACATTCAAGATGTTAATGACTGCCTTATCTTAAAATGCACCCATTCTGAAATAATGTGACTTGTATCCTCCTACACAGAGACATTTTATGGCTAAATAAATTCAGAAATGCATTCCTACAAGCTTTATATACACATTTAATCTTTCTTTTATATATTTTCTTTTCTTCTAGTAAGTGGTGGAATAAGCAACACTTTCCTTTGGATGGATTATAGTACATGTGAACTGCCTGTTACTCTGCAAGAATAAGAAAGCCCTTTGCTTTTACTTGTTAAATATCAACTTGATAGCAAAAAGCATCTGAATGGCTCACACTCACAGATCATCAATTGAATGGGATCAGCACTTCTACTAAAATATCCGAAGTTAAGGATTTGGAAAAGAGGTTTTTGCAGAGATGACCCATTTACAAGCTGGACTTAGTCCAGAGACTATAGAGAAAGCCCGCCTGGAACTGAATGAAAACCCAGACATTTTGCACCAGGATATCCAGCAAGTCAGGGACATGATCATCACGAGGCCTGACATTGGGTTTTTACGTACAGATGATGCCTTCATCTTGAGATTTCTCCGAGCCAGAAAGTTTCACCAAACGGAGGCCTTCAGACTGCTGGCTCAGTACTTCCAATACCGCCAATTAAATCTGGATATGTTCAAAAACTTCAAGGCTGATGACCCAGGAATCAAACGGGCTCTGACTGACGGGTTTCCGGGAGTGCTGGAAAATCGCGACCACTGCGGCAGGAAGATTCTTCTGCTTTTTGCAGCCAACTGGGATCAGAGTAGGTAAATGTAGATAGTGTCCTTATCTTTTTACACACACTCACACTCAACTCCTAATGGAATTTTTTGGCCATCTTTGAAACAGCAAGGCCATTTTCAACAAAATATTTTGTAACCATATCTCCATTACACCATAACTTCCATCTCACCTGATCACCTGTCAGTCCTCATACTTAGGACACAAGGCCATTGAGAGTTAAGGCTATATCAGTGTGTCATACAAGTAGCTCATGTCTGGGTTTTTTTAAAGAAATATTTCCAAATTTTATCCAGACAATGTATTTTTGCTATACGTACATTAACGTCTATCATACAATTACTTCAGCTGTATCACGGACCAGCCAAACAGGTTGACGGAAAGCATCTCAAAACATATGGAGATTCCTGTAGCTCTCCTGGTGCAGAGGAAACTGACAATATTTATTCTATCATCAGACTTTCTAACAGATTGCTTGTTTGTTTGTTTGTTTGAACTATTATGGGAATTGCAGCCTCTGCTCTATTTCCACAAACTGCATTGAGATTTCTACATACTCTGGTGGCTCTGTGTTGTTAGTCCAATAAATGGGACATTCACACAAAGCATATTTTCTGTTCAGGCCATTTCTTTACAGAGTGGCATTAACAAAAATATCTCCTAATCATTATTATAAAATAATGTCCTTAAATTCATGCAATTAGTCAGCTTTCATTACCTATTTGAAGTGGTACAGAGAAAAGGGGCTAGTCCAGGAATACAATTTTCACATTGTCCTCAACTTTGTAAGTTATTCCATTCCATTTTCCCTGACTTCATGGTGAGATGGAGAAGTGTAATCACCTGTAGGTTTACCACGTGTTCTGTTGGATCTTGATACACATCATAAGAAAGAACAAAATTTGGATTCAAGTTTTAAGTACCATCAGTTATGATGGTTTCCAGGTAGGATTTTGTCTTGCCATGGTCTAAAGTCTTTGATGAAAAAGTCTTATCCTTAGGAGTCAGTAGATTGGAGCTTTGATTTTACAGCATAAAAATTATTAGAGAATAATACACATATGCCTGCAATTTTTCATGTTATTTGTTCTCTGGGAAAACCTTTCATCCCCATGTGAAAAGCAGAGTTTCTGATTTTCATTCGCATGTGAATAAATTTCCAGAAAATGATACAGAAGTGTAACTTTGCATAATCAAACATGTTTGGTTAAATGGTGAGCTCAGGGCAGTAATAAAAGTCCTATTACCTACAAACAGGCCAGCAGTTTCTCTCCTGTCTTTCTGAACTGCAAGTTTGCCTTTCTTTCAGAAACCACAGAACTCTTCTGTTAGCAATTGGCCTGAAAAAAAGATGAATGCGCAGGTATCTGGAATTAATAGAAAGCATCAGATTTAGAGGACAGAAGCACAGTGGAACTGCTGGTTGCATGAAAGGATTTAGGTATTGCATAGAGCCAGCTTTGGGTTTCTGATCCTTCAACAAAATGAATCTTTGTGATTAACCTTGTACATCAGGTCCTGCTCTTGGAAAGCTGAGAGTGCTGGTGTCTAAGGCTCCTGCAATGAAACTTTGACAGAATAATGACTCTGGTCAGATTTTGGTTCATATTTTCTGCAAGACCTTTAAATATGCATCCATGATATGTGTGTGTGCGTGTGTGTGTGTGTGTGTGTGTGCGCGTGTGTGTGTGTGTGCAAAAACCAAAGCAACCCTGCATATTTTTGAAGACATAATTTTACCTTTCAAGGAAGAAAAGCTGAGGCAAATACCATAGGATGTACTTTCTAAGAACCCTCAGTGGCATTAAAAATCATGTGCAAAGTTTACCTCAGTTCAGCCACTGAACCTCATATCTTCTGTAGATTCTCATGACAAGGAGTGTTTTTTTCTGTGGGCTTTTGTGGCACTCCAGCTGCAACAGGGATTTGAGACAGGATTTGGGCTGTAAGTAAATGGATATCCTCCTCCTTTTTTGCTGTCTAGAGACATCAACAAGAGGAAAAGCTGTTAAGGAGAGGAAATGGTGAGTGCAGTGTCCTATTAAGCAGCACAGGAACAGGTTATTGACCAGAATAAACACAGATTTTTAAAAGAAGTTCAAAAAAGCATTGTGCACATCTTACATAAATGTATCTTGGGCAACCTTTCTGCAGACATGTCTTCTGAGTGATGGCAAGATGTTCACAAGCTCACATTTCAGCTGAATGCTAATGGAATCGGCCATGATGCACGAATAAGAGCTGATCCTTCAGCCTGCCCTTCCTTACTTTAATCTCATTTGCCACTGGCTTTGCCTTCTCTTTCTTTATGATCAATATCTAATTTATGAAGAGTTGTTTATAAAGAAAAAATAATTTTAAAGGGTCTATTAAAAATGAGAATAGCTATAGTCCATAAGTTGATTTTTAGTTCAGACATCCTTGCCATTTCTGGGAGTATGGTTGCTGTTAGCACATGTCAAAGAGGACAATCTTGAAAGTTTCTGTGCTTATAAATATCTTGATTTTTAACAGGAATTGTCATCATTTGTGTAATATGACTTCTTGGACAAATCAGATCCAAGATGTTTCTAAGGTTCTTCCTGTATCAAAGATAGAATTTCCATTTAAGCTTCTAAAAACGTTTGTAATTTCAGCCACCAGAATGCAACTGATAGGCCTGACATTTCTAGCAAACTAGGTTTTAATTTCCAGTCTCAATATTTCCAGCTTCAGCTTCCAGCTGCTAGATCATGTTAGTTTAAATGTACCACAAAAATATGACAGCTTCCCATGTTCGTCCTTTTGTGTCCTGACCACGTCACATTTAACCTATTTTTGAGTTCTCCGGGGAGGCAGCCCTGTAGGGTAAGTCACTGCCAGGCCAGAAGAAACTGCATTAGTGACTCTGCAGCAGAGGTTCTCGTGCTCACCTTCAGCCATGGGGAAAGAAAAGCAGCTAACACCCTTGTCCTCAAGGAAAATAACAACTGTGTGTTGTCCACAAGGTAAAGAACACACCTCTGAGCAGCCAGCACAGCAAAGATAATGTTCTGCAAAGCAATCCACTAGATTAATGTATCTCAATACACTTAAGATGCCCGAACTTAAACAGTTTTAACTTTACTCTCAGAACTGGGGAGATTTTCCAGGTTTAAAATACTCTTCATGATTCTTTTCTGGACTGTTCCTGTCATTTAAGTGTTGTTGCTAAGGTGCAGGTGGATGAACTAAATAAAAATTTTATTTTTAAAAATTATAAATCATCAAGTGATAACCCTATCTCATCTGTTCAGTAGTTTCCCCTTTTTAGATACAAGATTGTTACTCTGTTCTTAACTACTCTATCCCATTTTGAGCTCATGTTCAGCTCAAATTTGCCTTCAAGTCAGTTTCCTAAAATACAAATGCCACTGGTAAATGTGTCATACATTCTCATCCATAATGTGGGCACAGTCTCACACGTGATTCACGCTCTTGTGCAGAGCTAAACAAGTCCTGCTCCCCAGTTATCATTTCAAGAGGTTTGTGACATCTGCCAAGTTCACTGGTAAAGAATTTTATTTTTGTTTCCACATAGTTCAAAAATATAATGATGATTGTCTTGATCAAACCTCTTTGATGACAGGGAAAAAACCACAAGGGATGATAATTTTTATTGCCAAATTATTAGCTGAGATTTATCACATTTCCAGAGCTAGACTAATTCAGCCTGTTCTGCATAGGTTTGATTTCTCTCCATTGTTCAGGCAGATTTCTTAGAGATGATGTCATCACTTTCTCTCTAGGTCCTGCACAGTATATTTTGGATCTGTTAGTTAAAGTTAATCACATATTCAATACCTTAATTTTCACTTATTCAGTACTGAATAAATGAAAATGAGCAGATGAATAGAAAAGAAAGAGATCAGATAAGTTCCATAGGGAGGGAAAAAAAGCCTGTCGAGTTATATTACTGTAAACTAGTACAGGGGAGGGACATTTTTCACTTTGATCAGAACTCAAGGTGTGGACCCAGCTGACACCCACAAAGACTTTACTTACAACACTTCTTACAGAGCACATTATTTTGAATGCAAATTTGTGCAGCAATAAATTCAGATAAGGATGCCAAACTGATCATGTAATGAATTTTTTTGATTGACTAGTTTCCATGATAAAAAATTCCAGTTTGTAAAACAAACAAATGCATACACACAGTTTTGATGAAACCTGAACAAGGATTTCATGTAAAAAAAAATGTTCCATGTGCTGGAAAACAAATACTCTTTTTCACACTTTTTCATTTCCTCACTTTCACCAAATCTAAGCCCTCACCCCTCTGATTCACCTGTAGTGAATCTGAAGCTTTTAATGAAGTTAGGTAAGAGGGTCCTCTCAGCTGTTGGATTGAGGAAAGCCTTCAGTAACTTCCACAGCTGTTCCTATGTCTGCTACTGTCTTCTCATAAAGCTGCCCATACACCAAGGAGATGGAGCTTTGGGTGAACAAGTAATTCAGCAGAAGGTGTTCATTAATCTTCCAAGCAGAAGTGTTTCTTTCAAGGTTGTTCAGCCAACGTCAAATTTATTTTTGTATAGAGAGCCAGAAGAAGGACTCCAATCACAATACTCTGCAAATAGGGCTTGGGGTAGGGAGCAGAATGTTTTTCATAGTTTTTTTCAGTAAGATGGTAATTAATTTCTGTCTTCAAGTCTGTGCCTTAGAAGCCGTCACATAGCTCCAAAAATTCTGTGAGTCAGACAGAGAAAACCTGCTGCTTTGTTTACAACATACAATCCCAAGTCAACTGCTAGCCATAAACCATCTTTTATTACCCAGGGAATCTCTAATACCAGATACCATTCTGTAGGACAGTGTACTGAGGCTAAAGGGAAAGGAAATATTCTGACACAGAGGTAAACCAACATCTATAAATATTTTAAAGGATCATAATAAAACCCAAGTATGTCCTTCCTGAGAATGCTCAAAGTGGTGTAATTACAAGGATATTATCATCATCAGATCCTGTTGCTATAAAAGAATGCATCTCAAGTGTTGATCTAAT